TTCGATTCCGATCTTATCAATGAAAAAATAAAGGAACACAGTTCGAAGATTGAATTAATCAAAAGCAATAGCTTTTTCAAATCTGAATTCAGATTTTCATTGCAGCGTAAGATTATGTTCTGTGTCAACATTCGAAGACAGATTTCAAATTTTCATTATTAAAAGGTCCTCATGTGATTCGATTGATCAGAACTTTTTTATTGTGAACCAACAGGAGGAGTATTTGATGGCCTCAATTCGTCACCTGCATGCATTCTGTGCAATGCTGTCCTCTGTTTTGCCATGCACCTTAAGGTAGGTGTGAGATGTGAGTATGGCTCTATGCCTGCATCTACGTGATGGATCTGGATACAAGGAGACAGAAGAATCGTCAATATTCAGACACATACCCATCTCCATTAATATCCACTTTCACACCCGCATGCTCAAAGTATATAAAAATCTCTTAATCAATTGATAACTTTTTTTTAATCGTATTGCATGAACTATTATATATTTATAGATTTTTTGAATGGAATTCTAAATGTTATTATTTTTTATATCGGGCGTCTAGACTATAAGTTGATCTTCATCCTAAACTATTAGTCGGATCGACTGAATACTATAATGATTTGTATAACAAAAAGAATTCCATGATAAAAAGCTAGATAAGTTTTGAATAAATGCAATAAAATATATCTGCTGATAACATGTTGTTTTATAAATAACTCAAACTTTACTATTACTGTTGTAGGGAAATGTATTGATTTCATGTATCAATCAGTTAATTTTCACCTAGCTAATGGTATAGTAGTATGGTATTTTGATACAAACTTTGACTGTAGATTTCCAAAACGTCGTGATCTTATAATACGAGCTTATTATGATACAATATATTGATAGAATAATAATCTCCGTTTTTGCAGATATACATTTGAATGTCTAATTAGTTTTCGCTATGAAAAAGTCTATTTCTATTTCAGTAATGTTTATTTTCTTTTTCAATGATCTTGTGTTATCTATCACACTGATTAACTTTAAACTCATTTGTACAATATGTTTCGTATATAAAGAGAATGCAAATGATATGTCAAAGATTTCCTTCTCGTACAATAAATTATGCTTTTAAACACATCAATTTTTCTTATATTTATCAACTAATATTTTTATGATCCATTGGAAACGATCCATTTGTCGTTTAAATCTTCAATAACTAAAAAATACATGACTATTTATTTAAATATTTTATTGTCTGTCAATTATACAAAGAACAAACCGTTTTGAACTCCGAGCATGTGAGACATCTGCAGACATAAATAAGAATTTTAGCAACAAAATAAAATTTTTGTAAAAATATTACAATATTATAATTCAATCAGTCATTTACATCTTATACATAAAATATTTAATTACTGACATAATATTGATTGGCTTTCTAAAAGCCTATCTATGTTTAGTCCAATATCAACGTGGCCACTGTCATTATTATTTTTGAAAGAAGTAAATCTGTTAGTTATTCATCTATTACGTGAGTTATCTAACATATTCGTTTCATATATTTATATCTAAAAATAAATTTGAGTCATATTTATTATACAATGAATGGTTCAACAAGTGCTCCACTATCAACAGCACCAAGTAGTGATAAACTTTCTGGTCAATTAATTATAAAAGCTCAATTAGGTGATGATATACGTAAAATGATGATACATAATGAAGATTTAACATTAAATGGTAAATAATACTACAAATTTAATTTTATAGAAAAAAAAAAATGAAAACAAAAAAGCCAATGTGTGTTTTTATTTTATTATTTAGAACTTGTTCTTATGATGGAACGTATATTTACTGGAAAAATTTCAAATTCCGATGAATTAACAATAAAATATTTAGATGATGATGGTGATAAAATAACTTTATTGAATGATAGTGATTTAACTGTAGCAGTACATTTTCATAAAGTTCTTCGTCTATTTGTATTAGTTAATGGTAATGAACAATTAACTAATAATAATTCAACAGCAGAAAACCTTAATAAAGAAGGAAGTTTAATTGATGCTAAAACATTTCGAAATGAATTACAACAAATTCGAAATTCCGTACAAACAATACTTGATCGACTTCAATTACCAACAAATCAAGATACAACAAATAGTCAAGAAAAAGAAGTAACAACAGCAACAATTCCAACGCCTGCTTTTGTTTCAAGCACAACACGTGAATTTGATCCATATAAACATTTACATCAGAGTCAACGTTCAACTACTCCAGATAGTATTCGATCAAAATCTTCAACTTCAAATAAAACGGCTCATAATGAACAAAAATCATTTCAAACAATACCAACAGGTTTCCTTTTTATAAAAAAAAATAAAGAATCTCTTAATCGCAATAAGATATCTTTTATTATTATTGTTTTTCTTTGTTACATAGGTAATACTCAAAATCAATATCAATCTTCAGAATCAACTGATGCAAACAAACCACCACCTACTTCATTCCAACAAATGCCAACACCACATTTTGTTCCAACAGGACTTAATGATCAACAAACTAAAACATCATCATCACTATTTGGTCCTCCACCAACATCATTTCATGGCATGCCACCTTTACCAAATGCCGGTGCTTCTCGATTTCCAACAACATTTTCTCCTCCTACATTGCCAAATACTAACACACCATCAACTTTCAATTCTAGTTCAGCACCACCACCACCATCTTCAAACACTACTCAAACATCGACATTTATAGGTCAACAACAACAACAACAACAACAACAAGCACCTTTAGGACTACCACCACAACAAGGTGGTTTTTATGGTCAACAACAAGCTTTAATGCAATCACGGCCTGGTCTTCCTGCCTTTAATCCTAATATTAATACACCTAATGCATTTGCTCAGCAACAACCACAAGCACCACCATCAAGTTCATCACCAGCAACAATCAATCCATCTTTTATGCAACCAACAGTAATGCCAACTCCACCACCATTAGCTTCACAACAACCCTATGGTGGTTATCTACCTCAAAATACTTACTATAATCCTGCACAACAATATTCCAAAACATCATAATGTATCAAATGAAAAGAAATGAACCAACAAACTTTTTCAATCTTTTTTTTGTTTCTATCAATATATATATACCTTTTTTTCTGTTGCAAACTTATTTACTTTATTCATTTTTTTGGCCTTCTCTTAGATAAACATCAATTTTTTTCGTTAAGTATATGATAGAGAGGGTGTTTAATTGAGTTATGACTTTTTATTTGTTAAACAGAAAAAGAAATGAGAAATAATATAAAAAACTATAAGAATGAACACAAACAACTTAACATTACGAGTAATTGGATGAGTTTTATCTTTATTGTACCGGGTTGTGCATAACCTTTTGCTAGGGGGGGGGGGGAGGGGTAGCGCTATAATTTCAAGTTAAACACCTAATGAATATTATACCAAATTAAAGACCGTCAAAAACTGGATTCATTAGTACTAAATAGTAAGAGTTATCAAAATATTTTAATGTCAAACTTACGAAATTTTATGCTTTTTTTTAGCATAGAAAATTAGAGCACCAGCAGTTTTTTATAGGGAAGAATAACACGCAATTTTCTCAATAAAATTAGTTTTTTCATTATTTTCACTCATAAAGACGCTTCGCGATATACTCATTAGATGCATTTTTTCATGCTGCATCGGATGAGTATATTTCGAAGCGTCTTTGTAAGTAAAAATAATGAAAAAAGTTAATTTTATCGAAGAAGTCGAGTGTTTTTCTTCCATATAAATAAACCCGAGTTTTTAAAGATTTTTTAGGATTTTATAAGTCTTTTTTTAGATTTTTTATCTCAGAAAAATGGCTCAAGAAACTTTTAATATATATAGTTTTGTAGAGCTCGACGAGCCCTATCGAACCATGTAAAAATACTAAAAGAAAATATTTTACTCTATATTTGAATTGCTGGTGCCCTAATTTTCTATGCTAAAAAAAACATAAAATTTCGTAAGTTTGACACTAAAGTATTTTGATAACTCTTACTATTTAGTACTAATGAATCTAGTTTTTGACGGTCTTTAATTTGGTATAAAATTCATTAGGTATTTAACTTGAAATCATAGCGCCACCTCCCTGACAAAAGGTTATGCAGAATCCGGTATGTGTGTGTCGTAAAAGAGCAAAATTGTGTGCAGCACTTATATCATAAAATATTACAAGAAAAAAACACCTGTTCGCTTTTTTTACATAGAAAAAAAACCCGTCACTCTTTACCTTACTGAACACCATCGACCCAAATTTTTCTTTTGTCGGGCTACTGCATTTGTCGTTCTTTTGCTTTCTCATCGACTTTTTTTTTCTCTTTCCTTTCCTGCATTCCACAGCTTATATATACGTCCATAGTAACTACGCATGAATACGTCCTGTTGAACTTGAAAACGAACCATAGGTTAAAGTCCAACTATTACAAAATAGACATTCTAACTTTAGATTAATTTCAAGTAAGTGTATCGTATTAAAATAGTGATAACGATATAAAAAAAAGAAAATAATCTCATGGCTGAAGCACATGAAGCTGTTGCTTTTGAATTTCGTGTTGGTGCCGAAGGTATTCATTTCGAACTTTTCTAATTCATATTTTACATAGATTGTATGCTTTTTTTTTTCGTTAATAGGTGTTAATCTTAATGTAAGTTATGATGTATTCAAAGCACTGCTCTATGCGGGCTTACGTTCATGGAAACTTCGTTGTCGTCGTACAATGAATTCTTTATATAATACAATATATCCTGGTCATCCACTTTTTGGTATTGCTTCGTGTGGTATTGTATATGGTCTTAATACAAAAGGTCATGATCCATCAAATGGTTTAATTGATTGGCTTGATTTACATATATTTAAAAGATATTTTACACCAGATAATTCAAAAATTCTTGCATGTATTGTATTTGGTACTGGTGCATATATAGTTTTAGTACAAATTCGACAATCTGCATTGAAAAAATTATTTTCTTATCATGGTTGGATGTATCAAGAGCATGGAAAAAAAATGAGATTTGGTACAAAATTATGGGGAAGTTTAGTTAAATTATTAATTGGTCGAAATCCATCCTTATATTCATATCAAAGTGTTTTACCAACATTACCATTACCAAGTTTAGATGATACATTAAGAAGATATTTAAGAACAATTCGTCCATTATGTAATGATGAAGAATATCATCGTATGGTAACATTAGCTGAAGAATTTAGAGAAACAATCGGAAGAAAATTACAAAGATATTTATGGTTAAAATGGCTTATATCAACAAATTATGTAAATAAATTATTTGAGTATTTTTTAATAGAATTAGATTTGTATTTTTTTTTCTTATAGGTATCTGATTGGTGGGAAAAGTTTGTCTATTTACGTGGTCGATCACCAATTATGGTTAATAGTAATTTCTATGGCCTTGTATGTATAGAATTTTTAATTATTAGAAATTTTTTCTGTCTTTATTTTTGTGGAATTCACATATATTTTCAAAGAAAATAATGAGTGGAAATTTTAAGTCGAAGTTTTGCGACTCTCTATTGCAGGCTTTAGCCATCGAGAACAAAAGGCGTCAGACTCTTTTCCTAGAATTCATTAGCGATGGAAAAAGGTGCTGGACTGCATTAACGACAAGACATAGATTGTTATAGAGCATTTCAAAGTCTTTCTTGACATTTGCATGACTAGAACATGTTTGTGAATGTTCCAGATAATACAGTTTTTGATTTTTATGCAGATAAAAGTTTATATTTAAGATGTTCAGGATGATAAGTAGTGATACATCGGTTTATTACAATCGTCATATGGCCAACATAAAAAATATAAACTGAATAAGTTATAACTTTAGGAAATAATCAATATGAGTGTTTGTGAGCTTATCGAGATATATCATGTTGTGTGGAGACCTGTTGGAGATATAATGGATATGTACAATAAGCTTATTTGTCAATTAAATCAATAATAATAATAATAATACTGTTAAATTAAGTAAAACGGAATAAGAAAATGAAAAGCAACAAGGCAAACTAAAACTAGAAAAAACTTCTGCTCGAAATGCAGCAATAAGTGAGATAGATCGCTTCTCTGGCGATCGATTATCCTTGAGATATAACTATAGTCTGCGAGAGTTTTTTCATTTTACATATTTTCTATTAGTATAATGAGATTAAAAGAAGACATGTGAATTCCACATTTCAACCACAAAGAGGTTGCACTAATAAGCTTTTTTCTATTTATTAAGGATACTGCTTATGTTCGTCCAACAAAAATTCAAACAGCACGTGCAGCTAATATTGTCTGTGCTGCATTTCAATATCGTAATGAACTTGATCATCAAAATATTAAACCAGTATATATATATATATTTTTTTTTCTTCTTTTAATAAACGTTATATTTCTTATAGCTAATGGTACAAAATTTAATTCCACTTTGTTCAAGTCAATATGAACGACAATTTAATACAACACGTATACCTGGAAAAGAAACAGGTATGTGAAGAATAATATGATATATTTTTTACAATGATTTGTGAATTACTTTTGGTTTTTTTTTCTTAGATAAACTTGTTCATTATTCAGATAGTCATCATATTGCTGTTTATCATAAAGGTCGTTGGTATAAAGTATTTATGTTTTATAAAGATAATTTACTTCAACCATGTGAACTTCAAATGTATGATTTTTCTGTTCTAGTTTTTGATTTTTTGATATTATTCTTTAAAGTTTTATTTTAGTCAATTAGATGAAATTATTAAAGATCCAACATTACCATGTTATGGTGAAGAACATTTAGGAGCATTAACAGCTGGCGAACGTACATTATGGGCTGAAGCACATCAAACATATTTTTCAACAGGTGTTAATCGTTCATCATTAGAAGCTATTGAAAAAGCAGCATTTACACTTATTTTGGATGATGAAGAATATGATATAGGAGTCGTAAGTTTATTCGATGATTTGTCATTAAAAAAAAACAAACTTTCGGATATTAAATTAATCTAGTTACAGAGTAATTCGTCATTGTCATCAATAAATAATGAGGTTATAAATCTCTATATTGGTATTATTGTATCTCACTTATATTTTAATATCTAATCGTTGTACTTGTGTCTACTAATTAAGAAATCTAATTCATATATAGGATAATTATTATTTATTTCTTATTTAGAATACGACAGACAAATTTGATACTTATGCACGTTCAGTTCTTCATGGAAAAGGTTATGATCGTTGGTTTGATAAATCACTTAATTTTATTATTAGTAAAAATGGTGTGGTATGTAAAAGGATGAAAAAAAAGAAAATTTAATTTTGCTTCTTTTTTTGTTTCCTTAGGTTGGAATTAATGTTGAACATAGTTGGGTAAGATAGAAAAAAAAATGAAACCATACAGAGTGTTTTAAAAGTCCAAACGAAAAAAAGAATGCGGATAATTTTTCAGTAGTGAAAAGAATTTAAATATTTTTTTTTACAATTTGATCACATATTCATTAAAATTTTCAGATAAAATGTGTGTCTACAGAAGTCAGAACTGAAATAGTTCTACTAAATTGTCAAATTCGAATAAGTTAGTATTGTAAAACAGTAACTACAAATTGAATTTAAACAAAAAAAATGCTAACTAAACATAGGGGTGCAATAAATCCAAAGCCTTTGGAATTATCTTATTGGGTTTGGTGCTTGGATTTTGGAATTTGGGTTATTTGCGACTAAACCCACAACAAAATCCTAAAATCTCTTTTTTGATTGTATCGTAACTCTAGTTAGGTAGACCGTTGTTGTTGACACTTTATCTTACCAAAACTTTGAGGATTTGAAACCAAATTCAAATCCAATTCCAATTCCAATTCCAATTCCAATGCTAAATCCCTTGGTTACAAATTCCAAATCTGTTCTAGATTTATTGCATCCCTAATTAAACATTGCATGAGTAACACATTTCAACAATTTTTTAAAACCAGTAGTGTCAAAAAATCGATGCGATTCTGGACGACTATAGAATAATTATTGAAGACAAAACCGATGCAATTAATGTTGCTTATAAAAATGAGCCAGGATCAAGTGTTCGGTCAATATAACTCTTTTTCATAGAATTGTTAGACAAATTGTACTCTAATAAGAGATGTTCCGTCGTAATTCACTAGGTTGTTATTTGTAATAATAAGCAAGCTTGTGCAATAGACTGAAAAACTTGATCGTGGCTCATTTTCGCAAGCATGATTAACTTCATTGACTTTTTCTTCAGTAATTGCTGTAGATCTTCTAGAATGTGATCGATTTTCGACAGTGCAAGAAAAAAAGGACAATATGATATTACTGTTTATGAAGGATCCTATCGGATTAGATCACCTATGCAGAATTCAGAGGGTATGACAGTGCAATGTGGGTCTGCCTTTCAATCACGCGTACACTCCAACTTTCAAATAGCGTATTTTGTACTACTACATCGCAGGCAATGTCTGAGAAAGTATGGCATCTGGTAACATCTTCTATAGTCAACACTAGTGAAGACATGGAGACTCACCGTTAGTGAAAAGAATTGATAAATCATTGAAAAATCGGGTTTTCCTCTATCAAAGAGACGATAATCGGAGATGCTAAATATATGAGTTTGCAGTCCGTGAAAAGCTCTACAAAACTGTAAATAAGAAAGCTTAGTTACAAATACTTTCGACTGATGCCAAGGATTACAATGATCAGTAACTGATCATATTTTGGGTGCAGAGTCGTCTATCAGTAAATTCATTCTAGTTCCTTCAAAGTCTTATGAAAATAAGATTTACTATATATCATTCGATGCGTTTCGACTTCCTCTACAATATGATATATTTAGTTTCCCAATTCAAAACAGCTGTCCTAATCTGATAGGGTCCTTTGTAACAATAATATCATTTTGTCTTTTTGCTTAGCACTGGAATTTGTTTTCTTTTTATTGTATTTCATATTCAAGGCTGTATCGTATTAAACAGGTGTATATATTCATAGTACTCAACTTCTACTGTATAGGTATATAGTCGAATTAAACTAATGTTGTGTAGTTTAATACACGACTCGAAACAAAAAAGTGATGCGAAACTTTTGAGGTGTACTGTAATACAGGATTCAGTTGGCGTGTTTTTATCGAGCTCGACTTGCAACATTAGTTTTACAATGGTAGCTGACTTGAATTTGACCATTAGCAAAACTATTTTAATTCTGACTTCTGTAGACAAAGACATTTTATCTGAAAAATTTAATGAATAAATGATCAAATATTTAAAACCCTTGAGTAACTGAGGAGCTATTCACGATTTTTTTTCTTTTTTGTCCGAACTTTTGAAACATTCTATATTTTGTATAATAAATAATTGAAATATTTAAGGCTGATGCTCCAGTTTCTGTTCACTTGTATGAATATATGATTGCAGAAGATATTGTGAATTTTAGGTATGCTTATATTATTTTGTTTCTTTGTTTTTCATTAGATAAATCTATAATTTAAGTTATGATGAACTTGGTAATACACGTGGTACACCACGTTTTGTTGCACTTAAACCAATTAAACTTAAATGGTTAATACCAGAAGCTGTAATTAATTTTTTTTTAAATTATTATTATTCTATATTAATTAAAATTTTTAGTGCAATAATATGATTGAAAAAAGTCTTGCTCAAGCAAAAAACTTATATGAAAATGTTGATCTTCATGTTTATGTTCATAATGCATATGGAAAAGGTTTTATGAAAAAATGTAAATTATCACCGGATGCTTATATTCAAATGGCACTTCAATTAGCTCATTATCGAGTAAAAAAAAGGATTTATTTATTGATTTATTTATTTTTATGATTATTTTAAAGGATTCTGGTCGATTTAATTTAACATATGAAGCATCGATGACACGATTATTTCGCGATGGTCGAACAGAAACAGTTCGTTCATGTTCAATTGAATCAAGTCAATGGGTTAAATCAATGGAGAATCCAACAGTTACGGTAAAAGAAAAAAAATCAACTAACATAAATTCGTAAAAATTTATTCTATTGATTTTTTTTTAATAGAAAAATGAACGTATTAAATTACTTCGTCGTGCATGTGATTATCATCAACAACAATATCGTGATGCAATGACTGGTAAAGGTATTGATCGTCATTTATTCTGTTTATATGTTTTATCAAAATATCTGGAAATCGAATCACCATTTCTTCAACAAGTTCTTCATGAACCTTGGAAATTATCAACAAGTCAAGTAAGTTAAACGAAAAAAAAATCAAAAATTCTTTTGAAATAAATTTTATATGTATAAGACGCCAGTAACTTATGATGATCAACATTTAAAACGATTGATGGCTAAAAATCCAGATGTGGTAGCTAGATATGGAATTATTAATAGCCACAGTTTGGTACCACTTGGTGGCGGTTTTGGACCAGTAAGTAACATTTTCTTTCGATTTATCGAATGATTAAATTACATCATTAATTATTATTATTTATCTTGTGCTTTGTTACTATCGACTATTAAAAATAATTTTAATTATAAGATTTTAAATTTAAATATGTTTTTTTGTAGGTAGCTGCTGATGGATATGGTGTCAGTTATATAATTGCTACAGAAGATTTAATCTATTTTCATATTTCATCTAATAGATCTGCACCAGAAACAGTGAGACATAGATTAATTGGTTTTACATTTTTTTTTTCAAATTGATATTATATTAGGATTCAAAACGATTTGGTCAACGTATTCGTCAAGCAATGGAAGATATGAGAGCTTTATTCGACGAAGAATCTCAGAATGTTGATGGTTTCTATGAACACAAGAAGATCTAAAAAGTTATGTTGCAATAATAATTTGTCTATTTCAATTTTACCATATAGAATAATTCCGCAAATGTATCATTCCTAGACTTCTCAGTATATTTCCATAGTATCTTTATGGAATATACAATTACTTATGATCAATTTTCTTTTCTAAATATATATCTCATAGAATAATCAAGTAAAATTAACTAATATTTCAATTTTTTTTCAAATAAAATCTTTTGAAAATATGAATCGACAAATACAAAAGTAAAGAAATATATAAATATATCAATTTGTGAGTAAATAATTTAAACTACTCTTTAGAGTAAATATCCTTAAGAAAAATTTTGTCAAGCGTAAAATATAAACTATCTTGATGATAATTTAAATTATGTAACTTATTTTATTATAATCGATTAATTCTATTTTTTATTTTGCACAAAAAAAAGAAACGAAAGTTTAAGTAATAATTCTTACAATGTAATTTGGTTCTTGATGAACTAATCATATAATTCTTTAGTGTTGACAGCGTAGCTGGAGGTTAAGTGGACCATTTACACTCACACTCTACGTTTTAATAATAAGATATTTGAAAAATAAAAATCGAAGATCAGGGACATTTTTACTAAGGGCATTCACTTAGAAGATCATTTTTACAAGGACAATTACTTATGGAAGCAAAAAAGGATTGGAGACATTTTAGATCCAAAACAACTTGTATAACCATATATATATAACAAAACAAATATCTAGAAAGGAAATCATGCTGTGCGTAAAATAAAGAAATATATTCTTAAGAGGATAAGATAGTGGATAAATTATAGAGATAATTCTTAATAACAATTTATTAATCTAAATATGATTATTTGATCGATACAATTCTGTCCGACTCACTAGGACAGTACCACTAGAAATTATCATAACAATCGAAATATTTTCATGAGTATAAATTCTGATGATTTATTAACATTGATAAATGGTAAGTTAATATCTGTTGGTTTTAAATAAGTTGGTAAAATTACTACAGACAAGCTGTCTATCTGTTTTTAACTTATTACTAGCAAAATATTGTAAATTATCAATATATAATATACTCAAAAGATAATTTGTTTATCATTTTATGTATAGTAAAAAAATAATTCTGAGAATAATATCAACAAAAATAGGCATAATAACAATTTCAAATGGTAGACAGACAATATGAATTGATAAAAATAATCTTATGTTAACGAATTTCAAAGAATTTTAATAATAAAAATGAATAAATTGGATCTATGCGTTTTATAGATATTGAACTGTTTTAGGTAATATTTGCCTATACGAATAATCTTTTATAAATTTTTAAAAGTCAAAATATACCAAAAATGTTATCTCATGAAACTCTAATCTCTTTATCTAAAATTATTTTCATTGCTATTCCATTGAATTAAAAAAGCAACAAGGGAAGACCATCTTTTTCAATGTGATTACTTTGCTCATATTCTATTGTCTTATTAACTGGGTGCATTTAACATTAACGAAAATCACAAGAAATTTATAACTGTCACATAATGAATACAATGATAATGGGATTTTGCACGATAAAATATAAATGATGAACGATACACCTTGATGTTAATACTCTTTTTCTTTCTTCTATCATTATAATATGAAAGAGACAGGTGAAAAATTATCGTTGTTTTTATTTTTATCGTTTTGTCATGATTAGACATGCGTGTGTACACATTGTACCAAATCTATTGATAAGTTTCATAAGCAAAATAAGAGTCGTTTTCTTTTCATCTATCTTCGTTGTTAAAACAAAGAAAAAAGATATATCAATTCATTCTTTCTTTTCATTACTACTAACATTTATTTATCGTAATGTATAGATAATTTATAATTGCAGCCATTTTTTTCTTTTTACATAAATGATTATATACAATATCACCAGCGTGGTATCATGACCATTTTCCATTATTATACCAGAACATAAATTTTTGTTTTGATGCAGCATATTAATCATTGAGCGTTATTTTTATTCTTCAATCATTCAAGCCGAAACAATAAAGAGCAATTTCTTTTCTTCTCATCACATAATTGAAATATATATGAATTAAGTCAAATGTTACTTCAAACATCCTGATTGTACATAATATATTAGTGGATTAATCGATTTTTGCTACATACGAATATTATCATCCATTATAATCGCAATCGTCTTGATACGCTGGATGTATTGTAGTGGTTGTAGTCCTAGTTCTATAATACATGACCTTCGACAAATGTCGAATAATACGTTCTAGTACACAACAAAGCAATTTCTAAAAATTAAACTTTATAATCAGCATGGTCTGCGACAATGATTTTGTCGACTTATCAAGTATGCCTATACGTAACTGCCTCAATATATGTTGGTGATTGATGACAGCAGAATATTGGTGAGATATGTTACTTTTTTTCTTTTTTAAATGTAAATTATTTAAAGAATTGTAAATATTTATTTCTAATTTGTTTTGAAGAATGTGTTTGGCCAATCATATTGGTATCGCCGCTTGTTTAGTGTCATACGTATTTTATTGACAAAATTTTGTTTCTTTTTGTCTTTTTTCTAAATAAATTTTTATATTAAATAATCGATATGATACGAATTTTTAAAAGAAATTTGACATATATACATAGAAGAGCATATGAAAACTAGATAATCATTAAAAAAATTATAAACACTAATAATTCGATATAATTTTTGTATTGAAAAAGTAAATAATGATAATCAAATTGTTATTGACCATCGATAGAATCTTATCATTAATAGACTGATGATAAAAACTTACTTCGTCTCATATTAATTTTATTACTTTTAACATCATAATCTAGTTAAGCCATTGCAGTAGAATTTTTCGAAAGATTATAAATAGGTCCTTAGTAAATTACTAATTAGAGAATATTTTCATGTAATCCGCTCTATTTGCCCCTCATATTTTGCCGATATAGAGAAGATCATTAGAGTAGCATAATCTTTAAAGGTTTTCTGCATATGCGTAGATTTAATCGAGAGAGCGACTATTCAGTAGAGTCCTCCTGCAGTAGTCCAGTTTTTGGAAAAAAATGTATTTGAGAATTTCGATGTGAAATTTTGGTACACATGAATGCTGTGATTAGATCATATCATATATTAAGTTTCATCAATTTTGGATAATGCATTACTAAGATATAGATTTCTCAGTATATTCCTATCTTACACAGCACTTAAAGAAAAGCATAGATATATTGAGAAATCTATATCTTATTAATGCAACATCCGAAACTGATAAAACTTTGTATATGAGATAGTCTAATCGAGACTTCATGCGTACAAAGTTTTCGGTTGAAATTCCTAAGCATTTTTTTTTCGAATACTAGACTCTTGTAAGAGGAATCTACTGAAAAGTTGCTATCTCAATCAAATCTAAGCACGAATAGAAAAGCTTTAGAAGTTACACTAGTCTAGTGATATCCTGCATATTGGCAAAATATAGCGATAAATAGAACAGATCACTTGAAAATATTTCCTCGTTAGACAATAACGAAACTAGAATGATGATTAAGAAAGCAAGATGGTCATAATCTAAAAAACAAAAATTCAAAGCCCATTCGAAAGAACAACAACTCAGTTTTTGCTCGAAGAAACAGGTAGTAATTTTTTTATCGAAACGACAACATCTTCTGTCGGTATTGAAGCTTTCGTTGTACTAAATTTGAAATGCTAAGTTTTATTTTAATATTCGAATCTATTTCTTTTATCATAAATTTTCATTTTCATTTGTTTTACAATTATCCGCAGACAAATACTAAATATAGTTCCAAGCTAATCTATTGTGTTGCATGTACAAATGGACTTGAACAGATCTTCAGTCTGTTCTGTTCGAAAGTTTTTGAAATCATTCCAAAAAAAAGCATATAAATTAAAACTTATCATTATTTATTTATTTTGGCTGGTAATCAGTTTTAATAATGAAGAGACATTTCGAATAATATCCATTTAATCAACCTATGAGAGTGAAATATCATTTTCACTATGACCATAATTCTAAATAATCTAAAATAAAAACAATAGAATCTTTTTCTATGTATGTATCTGAATAACTATGTAAAACAGTTATGTAATAAAGAAGATATTGATAATAAAATAATTGTTTTACTATAAGTTGTTGATATCTAGATTTAATTTTTGTTCAACTTCTAATCGTATCGATTCACCATACAATCATAATCTAGTTTAGAATAATATTGTATAGTATCCATTCAATCTCATGGAACTTTAATTTCTTTAAATGAAAAAGAAAATAACAAATTTAATTAACTTTATTTTTATTGATATAAGAAGCTTATTAATAAATATGCATAACGTTGAAAATATCATTATCAAATATCGTCTTTATCATTCAAATAAATTTCTGTATTATAATTATCAATTTGTCAAGTATCACTAAGTATCAATCTTTCATGACTTCGAAAAAAGAATTAAATAGAGTTTTTTTTCCGATATTTTCAAGTATGCACTTAGACACCATAATCTTCCCCTTCCTTCCCACCATTAGAATACAAGCTCATGATCTTCTGTTATGGAAATACACATAGCTCCTCTAAAAATAGCTTTCTATTGCAAGATAAGCGCTTTTAGCAATTAAGCGTCAGAAAACCAGGATTTTTACTAGGAAGTACACTTTTTTTATTAGAAAAAGTGGTCATTTTTATTATAATAAATCACTTTTACTCAAAATCCGAGTTTTTAGGTGTTAAAACCGCAAAAAAATCAATGGGCTTTACGAAAAAAGACTTTTGGAAAACCCATGATCTTCTATTACGTCTTGTGAAATCTTTTTTGTGAGCTGCCTTCGATTCTAGAAGCCGAGGTTATAACAATTATCATCAATATAATAAAAATGTCGATTCATGATGATCGAATGCGAAAAATAAGACTAGAAATAGATCAAATGAAAATATTGTTAAACATTTTCTTTGCTCCATAACCAATAAAAATTAATATAACATCATAATTTTCGACTAACCACCTAAGTGATAAATTATGTCATCATACAACATAATTCAACAAGTCGCTTCTAATGAATTAATCGGTTTTTTTAAAATGAATGTTATTTGTCTATTAGTCAATCGGTCAGTTTTTGATTTAATCATTATTTAAAGTTGTTAAATAAATTATAAATGAGCTATGAATACTCTCGAAAGAGTTCATGTCCTTAGCGTATTGCTATGAAGATACTACACTTTTGCCGTATTTTCTAAAATGAATACCATGGGTTCCTCAGAAACATGAGAAAACCTGATTTTTGATTTTCGAAATGAAACTTTCCATAGAGAAAGATCTTAATGAGAATAGTTTATTCTGAAAGTTTCAAGTATTTTGATGTGCTTCTACGCTGATATAAGAACATCAAATCTGCTAGTTTATATAAGCGATATAAAAGACACGCTTTTATTATAGTTGTAATATCTTAGAATAGAAACAGTGACAAGAATTGAAATATTTATGAAAGAAACCATTCTCATTAAGGGCTATCTCTATGCAAAGTTTCAAGTCAAAATGTAAAAATCAGTTGTTTTGTTATCACGGCACTCATTAAAAAAGAATACCGTAAAAGTGCAGTATTTCTGCACTAATAAGCTCAGAGAACGAACTCATTTCAGAATATTCATAGTTCATTTGGGTCTACATGATACGCGTAGTCTTGACTCAAAAGTGATTGAAAAGTTGGAAGACTTTCCTTGTTAGTTAAATATTTCATCTATAGTTACATGAATGAACATAAAATGTCGTTGAAAAATAGTCATAGCTTCAAATAAGAACGGAAGTTCATATCGTTATCGATAGTTGCAAAAGAAAATTGATTGATCGTTTGTAATGATCAGAAACTATTTCAGATTCATTTTTTTTATTAAATAATAAAAATGATATAGCATATGTTTATATGATGGACCAAGTTGTGAATTGTCAAATAATTGATAATCCGATTGTGCAAGAAAAACCTATTTTGACATGAATATTCGGAACAAAAGAAACGGATTATTGACATGTTTCAATCACGTTTAACATTTGTTTCTTTTTTTCAATACTAAAAATAAATCGCTCATTAGATAGAAAACGATTGCTACCAACACACTTGCTGCTGTATCAATAAATTGATCAGTAATGATCATTATAACTAATGAAGAATGCTGTAATTGTACACCTCTTGTTCTAAGTTTAAGATAATTGTTCAACGGTCGTTGAAGAAAGTAAATGCTCTTTTTTAAGAGTTTTCATCACATTCGAATATATGAATGGATTAGATTAGAGAAGAAAAGAAATTTTATATTATAATTCTTGGGTTTTTTTTATTCACATCTTATGAGTATTAATACATAAATATGTATGAAAAATAAATATTTAATTTATATCAATGTCAGTATGTCAATTCTATTCAAATAGAAAACGGATGAAAAATAAAAAATTTTGTTTTTTGACCTTTCTCACTATAAGAAAAAAATTTCTTTTTAATTTGTTCTTAATTGTTGTAATTTTTCAATTGATGATTTCCAATATGATCGATCGCGATCAAGTTCGGCTAATACTGCTGAACATTCTCCTTCAACGTCAGCTAATATTTGAATTAATATTTCTTTATATCTCTATAATAAATAATTAAAAAAGAACAACATATTAATAGTTAAAAAAATAAAACAAGAACTAAATTCTAACTTGATAAACTTGATCTCTTTGTTTTATTGTTTCAATTTGTGGTAATGTTGTTTTTTGTGTAACAATCGAAGCTGATGTTGTTTGTCGTTGAGTAGCTATTGATGAACGTTTTTTTGATTTTGTAGAGTCACGTCGTGGATTTAATTGATCATCAAGTAATGGTAAACCTAAAGAAATATATATATTTAACTATTCATGTTAGAAAAAAAAAGAATATTTCAATATACCTGGCCAATGACCTTGTTTACGTTCAATTAATGGAGTTGGTTCAGAATCTTCTAAAGGTCCTCCAGTTTGTTGACGTCTTAATAATTCCGACAGCGATTGTTTGACTTTAGGTAATTCTAAAAGTATAAAAATTTTCGATAGATGAATTATTCTTACGAAGAAATGTTTGTAAGTGTCAAATTACTTTTGATTCAGCACTATATGAATTATGAATATCCTGAGAAGACATCAGATGCTTAGTTTATTGCTGTTGAAGTACCGTATTTTTACGATATTTCTTTGCACTCTGCTGTGCTTTCTCTCATGAATATCCGGACCACCGCATTTCAAATTTCGACTTGAAGTTTTTCACAGACACAACTCTTAACGAAAATAGTTTATTGTGAAAGTTCCAGATCAATTTGATTACTCATATTCTGAAATAAGAAAATCGAAATCTATCGTTGTATATGAGCGATACTAAAAAAAGGCATGTTTTTACCATCACCATATCTTAGAATAGGAGTCAGCCAAAGATCTGAAACTTTCACAATACATTATTTTTGTTAAGAGTTGAGTCTGTGGAAAACTTCAAGTCAAAATTTGAAATGCAATGGTTCGGATGTTCCTGAGAAGAAGCACAGCATAGTGCGAAAAAAATATCGTAAAAACGTAGTATCTCGACAGTGATCAATTAAGAGCTCGAATTGTTCTCAGGGTATTCATAAGTCATTAGAATCGGTACTAGGACAATTCGTCTCATAACATACTAACTCTAATGTATCCTGAAGAAGCATCGAATATAGGTGAGTGTGCCAATAGGAGTACACAAAAGATCCTCACTCACACCAACATCCACATCCACACACGCGCAACAAATATTCCTGCGTCGAATTGTCCGGTCATCTTAGGGTCTCCAATAGTGAACAAAATTTTTCCACTTCTTCCGTATCTCGGCTACCTGTACATGCTGGAGTTTTAAAAATTTGTCGCCCCTAGTGCATCAATACAACGAACATTATGATGAAGGGCGTCTATCTTTACTTCAAGCTTTTTGTCTAAAAGTACATTACTAATTCTTGATAGTTTAGCATGCAAGTAGAGTTCAGTGTATGCTCTTTTTTTTAATCGAAAGATCGGGTAATTTAATCGAAGATTGTTGTTTCTGCATATCTTTGAGTTCTCTGTATCAACATGATGATTAATCCGATGGGATTTTATTTTCATGAAATTTGTAGGTAATAATGCACCACTACAAATAAAGCTTATGCACACATTTTAGATCGATTCACTAAACTACTATTACTAAGTTATGGTCTTCAAAGGCTAGCAGATAGTTTTGCTTCCTCCCAAACGGTCCTGTAAAGATGGCTACAATTCTAAGAAGGATTGATAAACTTCGATGAAATTAATACGGTAGATAACCAGAACTTTTCTGATCTATAGCGTGTATGATAGTCGAGATACAAGAGGGGGGACGATGAGAAACTTTTGTTTACTACTGTATGCAGTGCCGACTGAAAGGCAATTTGACATATGCAAATGTTCTCTCGGCATTCATTGTTTTTCTCATTATACTTGTTCGTGTTATTTCATCAGCTGTTAATATTTCATCAAAAAGAATTAATAAACGTTCAGCATTTGTTGCTAATGAATTAATTGTTTCTTGTGAATTTATTTGAATATTTTTCTGAAAATAAAACAAAAAGATTTTCTTTGTTATAAATTTAATTTTATGAAATCATTATTTACAATTGTATTTGCTCGAAGTTCATTACATATTTTTTGTACATTATCTTGACGTAATTTTTCTTGATTATCAATCGTTTGTAAATGATTTTTTTTTGCTGGATCTCCAAATGTTGGACGAAGTTGTTGAAAATTGATTTGTTTTTCATTATTAGATTCATTTAATTCTTTATTTAATGTCATATCAAATTGTTGTTTACAATTAAAAAGAATTTCTTCAGCTTGAAATAATTGTTCATTAAATTCAATTTTAGCCATTAAAGTTGATGTACGTTCAAATAATTCAAGTACGTTACGAAATTCTACAAAAAAAAAACAAACCTTTTTTTGTAAGAACAAAATAACTTCTTTATACCATTTATTGAATTTTCATGATAAGAACGACATTGTTCTTCATAATTTTTAAGCTTTTCTATCATCACTTGTGCAAATTCATCAAATTTTTCACGTAATGCTTGAGGACGTGTTACAGGACGAACACCTTTATCTCTATAAAATATCTGATTGAAAAAAACACAGATAAATATTAATAATAAAGATAATTTTATGAAATTTACTTCAGAATGTGTAAATAAACCTTCAGTTGATTCTCGTAGAATATTTAATATTTTAGATAAGAAATCTTGACCAGTATGTTTTTTTTCACCAAATGTACAATAAAGATTATAGATTTCATCACGTGTTCTAGCACGAATTGGACGATCACGTCGAGTAGCTGGTCTTGTTTCATCACTTGATGATCTATTAATAGAATTTCTTTACAATTTTATTCTTATATAATTAAAAATATAAATAGACTTTTACTCTTTATTTGATAAACTTTGACTTTTATCATTTTGTTTGGATTTTTTTCCATGTGATGATGGTGTTGGAGAATCAGAAACAATTGGACGTGTGTTCAGTTCTAAAAATCATAATACGTATTTTAACATATTCAAGAAATCAAGAATGAGAATCTCCGTATTATTAACTTTGGTGTTAACATAGAACTACTGATATTAATATTATCGATACTGAAGTTTATTGGAACACTAGTGCACGGATATTAACTCTGTTACTTTTCTTTATATTATTAGCTTTAATCATCAATGTAAGCCAATTGTATTAGTAATTATATGGGGTTACATGAATTGCGACTCGGTACGAAATTCCGGTGACTTTTCAACCCAGACCACCCGTCATACAGAACTTTCAGTCTGGGCTCAAATTAATCTCATTAACTTCTCTAAAACCCAAAAATTTTATAAACAGTTGGTACACTCTGTTGTGCTTAGCGGCATGTATTTTCAATAAAACGTAGTATTCAGTACGATGACATAGTCCTGAGTATTCTGCTTTTGTCCTATAAGAAGTGGTGTGGGATTTTGAGACAATTATTACTTATATGCAATAAATACCCACGTAAAACATTGAGTGCTTAAAGTACTATTAAGTGATGCTTCTCTAATCCACCTTTAACTAATCAATGTTTATTAATAAATATTGTCACTTTTTCGACGGCATCTTATTGAATAGAACTCTAGAACTGTAGTTTGATTTAAATGCATGCTGCTATTGAGTACTTTTTAATGAAAATGAACATTGCTAAGCATTATAGAGTGTACTAATAATTGATATAAATAATGCTTTTGATGAGAATTAACGAGAGGCATTTCAGATCGGGCCGAAATTTTGATTTTCCTTTTTATGTTTTAACAAGATATCGAAAATCCGAATTATGGTGACACTCAACATTGATCATGTACCTAATCAATACTCTTGTTTTTCTAATATCACTATGTCGTTACTAGTCTAGAAATACAAAAGATGATGCGCTTTGATTTTACTCGAAATTGATTATACTTACTGCGTGACTACGATTTTCGTATTTCAACTTTTTGAACAAGAAAATAAATATTGAAAATATTTTGACTGAGATGAAACTGAATTTTTTATTGAAATATTTCTAAAATAAATCTTTCTATTGAAAAGAATAAAATGTGAAGTACAATATCCATCCATTTTTATGTAAGTGAACAACATCAAAGGACATCATCTTCAGTCTTTCTACTCTAGTATAGCAAATATATGACATAGATAGCTGCTATTTTGAACAGATAAACTATGAAAATGAAACTACATTTTGACGACAATCACAATTTTATATGGTGAAACCAGCTTGAAATATTAGAAAGACAAGACCGTTAGTTTAGCGTATGATCAATTTTGAGTGCTACTCCATCTATAATTTAGACGTTTATAAATTATAATCAAGGGAAATTAGTATCAAGGAACCTTAATGTTTAGTACTAAATAGGTGTACTAAAAGTTTTGCAACATTCTTTTTTTGGCACATACTCGAGCTGAGATAATAATATATCATCCAAAGTTTCCTCTCAGAAGATGCAGCATTCGATTCTCTACAAACTTCTACGTACCATTATTAATAACAACAGAATATAAACTTTTCAAGTTATGAACAGTCACACAAAAAACTTCATACTTCTGATTCGAGTACCTGCAAAATGCTCTTTCATCAGTGTTTGTATGTATTTTATCATAACCTATATGTATGTGATGACGATAGCTTATCTCAGTTTCTACATTAAAAATGGCTTTCAATACAGAATTCGAATCCTTCTTTTAGCTTAACCGTTTTGTTCAGTAATATCCGACCGTCAAACAAAGGGACACTACAATTTTTCATAACACTTTACAAAAATGAACTTGATCTATCCATCAATGATATTTCTAGGATGTCCGTTAGAAAACGAGTAATCAATGAAGGAAGTTTCGCTATTGTCAAAATATAGCATGCTATCTCATCTCGAGAATGTGCATTTAAAATACTTCATAAATATACACAATTGTATAGAAAGAATGTTGCAAAACTTTTCGTATACATGATATGGTCAGTGATCAGTACCAGATCTATTAGTCTGATCTGTTGCCTAGTAGACGCCTGGCAGACCATAAAGCCAAATTAAATTTTGATATTTTAACCTGGTCTGCTCCGTCCGTATAATCGTGAATTAGACTAACAGATCAGGCCAAACCAAAGTTGTTGGCTTGTGTGTGATGTCAAATTCTTTTTCCTGGTATAACTTGAAGCATAAGATGGTGCTAAAAGCTCATGTTTTTGTGAGAGTATGAGTGTGGGTCATCTCTTCATAGGTAATCACCCACCCTCACACCTACAATCACATACATACCCTTTTGCTTCTTCGTTGTACGCCTGAACATATGTTGTTTCTCTATCATAATTAAATTTACCTGATTATGTGAAATAGTGCTGATATATATTCAAAAACATTTCAATAGATTGAATCTTTTTCTGTATAAGAGATACTTTTGATGACTTATCTCTTTGTTTTAATTCATTATTTGGTGCAAGAACTTGTCATTATACTATCTTCATAAAAATAAATTAAGTATATAACTGAAACTGGAATAATACATTATAATAAGATTATAGAACCTAATGAATTTAAAAAAGACAGAAACATCAGTCAGCCTAGTTTTACCTTCCAGGCCAGGCCGGAAAAAAGTAGCCTGTTAACAGCTCTGATCAATATACTCGAGACTGTCACATCTAGAGAAGAGACAGACAACATAGAATTCAGTTAGATATATACATTTCCTTGAATGATTTTGCATTGAAACTATACTAGGATTCTTTTTTAAAATTTTACTATAGGATATTAATTGTTTCAAGTCAGTTTTGTATATTATTTTTCATTATTCAATTAATTAGATTAAATACAAACCTATAGCAGCAGGTACACCTGGTTCAACAATTTCATCAGAATCTGGTAGTTCTTCTTGACTAATAAAAAAAGAAAGTTTGTTTTTTTTTTGCTGATATTTTATTTTATTATTTTTGAATAACATACTGAAGAAGAGATCGTATTATTGAAATTGTATCTAAATCTTCTGAATGTCCACCAGTAAGACCAATTAATGTAGATGACTCTGTTTTGTTTCGAGAAGATGATGTTGTTAGTGATGATGATGATGCAAACTTAACTGATTTAACTTCTTCAGTATTACCACCAATACCAGCACTCATTCGTGATGGACGACGAGATAAATTTGTTTCTTCTGTTCCAGTAACATGAACAAGATCATTAACTAATGCTTCTAAAATATCCCAAAAAGAAAACCAAATTTATAAAAGTTAAAATTTTGATTTTTTTAACATTTAAATTAAATACTTTCAGTAATTAATCCTTTATCTTTAAGAATAGTAATAAGTGAAGCTGGTATAGTTAATTCATTATTAAGACATTTTAAATATAATGCTCGTTCATATGTAGTTAAAACAATTTGATGAAAAAGTTCTCGAATTTCATTTAATGTTGATACCTAAAAGATAAAAAAATAAAGGTTTAAGGCTACTCCGTCCGCTTACGTCACGCAATTTTTTTTGAGTTCATGGTACAGTCTGGATTCATATCTATCTACTGAATACATTTTGGAATCCAAAAATTTTTTTTAAGTATTAAAAAATCTAAGTTACGTAACGAAAATAGCGAAAATTGTATATTGTTTCGCATTTTTCTCAAACCAACTTTTTCATGAACAAAATAATGCAGAAATATCTCCGTTTCTCCCATCTAGTACGCCCAATTGAGCTGAAACTTTTTTCACATATACTATACCCTCTTTAGAATGAGTATTATTTTTTGTTTGAAACAATATTGTTCTGTTGATTTTTGGTAGCTCTTACAAAATAAAAGTCTATTCAACAAAGCATGCGTTTTTTAGGATACCTTCGATGTTTTGGCTTTTTATTCAAAGTACAAAAAATAAAAAGATACCCATTTCAAATAGTGTATAGTGGCCGTAAAAAATATTCAATTGGATTGAACATAGCATCTCGGAGAAGCGGGAGCAAAAATTGGAGCCGTTGTGACTCCATTACAAAGATGTTTATGGCGACAGAAAATTTGTCGCTACCGCAATGCTTTGCGAGAAACTCTTCAAAAATCTTCTCCATCACTGTGCTATATTAGCACAGTCAGATTGACTCCATCAGATTCACCACGATTTTGACTGTTGAGCTTGTAGATATTCAGATCAGATGCAAATTTATGCAATTTTACAATCTTCTTAAAAAAAAGAAGCGGCCACAATAGTATTTTTGAAATATCTTCCACGCTGCTGCCATGAACATTTCTGTCATAATATCTCATAGAAGACAGAAATCGAAAACTTTGAGTCAATGTGATAACTTTTGCTCTACTCATCAAGATCTACCTGATCTGAAAATTTCAAAATTTTCTGATGTGGCATTCTCCAGAAAAGCGGAGGAGATCGTACCATTAAAGTTGTTTTTCTTATAAAAAAAATTCTTACTTGTTTATCTAAATTTGGATTTAGAATCGAATCAATTTTAGCTTGATATGTTAAAATAAGTGTTTTAAGCATTTGTGCATGTTCATTATTAATAGCAACTTCACTTTTGATTTTAACTTGTGTTTCACTTATCCATCGATTTGTTAATTCAATAAATTGCAAATCAGTCATATGATTTTTAAAACTAAATAGTGTTTAAAAGAAAAAGAAAAACAATTAAATTAGTTTTAATTCTTTTGATTTTCTTTGTTGTCTTTTTGTTTTACCGTTCCTGAAATTGAGTCATTATTTTAGATGCTTCGTCTAATTGTTTTTTTTCCAGTTTTTCTAATTCATTTAATATAGTTGTTTCAGCTTTATCTATTTGAAATATTGTTTTCTCAAGTTTTTTTCTATAGATTTCAATTTCATCACGACTAAAATTTCCACCTTCAGAAAACGTTCTATAATAAATAAATAAAATACAAACAAAATGATATTAAAGAATATTTGTTTATTCTAATGTTCTGACTTAAATGATTTTCGAAATTTAGCATTTGCTTGTCGTAAATATTGCATAGAATCATCAAAACGTTTACGAAAACTTCTTAATGATACTCGTATATTATTCATTAATGTATCACGTTGTTTTTGTAAACGATCTTGTAATGCTAAAAGACGATTACTTGTTGTTGCATTAACAAATACTTGTTCTAAATTAAATATATCATCTTTATAAGTACTGATTGATTTAGAAAAGTCTTTTAACATTCGACCATAATCAGCATCAATTTGTTCTAATGTTTCTTGAACACCACGTATATGACGTTCAACTCGTTCGTCATGCATAACAATTTCAGCTAATAAAAAATAAAAATAAAACAAATCAGTCGAACAAAATAAACAGAATTAGTTAGATAAAAGATTAGTTTTTGGTCAATTAACATAGTTAATATTTGATCGTTTGTTTTTTCTCTTAAATTTGATTATAATTGATATTGTATTGTACTAGTTTTTTTGTTTTCTTTTTCTTTTTTTATCGATTAGGAATAGCATGTTGAGTCAAGATATTCTGCATTCATTTTTGTTTTTTAATATAGAGTTGCAATACAATATTGTAGAGATATTATCCTGTTTTTTTTTGTTTGTTAGAAAGAGCAGGGTGCTTAATGCAAAAATTTGATCGGAAATCTTTCGCGAACGTTACAAAAATCTTAGAGCTAAAGGTATTGGAAAACTTTTTTTGTAACTTTTTTGAATTCAGAAAAAAAAACTTCATTCAATTAAAAAAGGTTTCCATTTTTATTCTTCCTTTCTGAGTTTTATAACGTAAGAATAGAGTGCTATTAGTGTATCAATAGAAGAAATATTCGATGTTTTTTACAAAGCTTTTATCACATCTTTGGGTATCATCAATTTTTTGCGTAACTAGTCATCATAACCGAACAACTCAATTCTACTGCAAAAGAGAAATTATCAGAAGATATTAATTTTTTATATGAAAAAGAAAGCTTATTGAGTTTTCTACTAAACGATATTATTTAAAATAAGACAGGGCTTCTTTGTGAAATATTCACGAGGAAAGTCCTTCAATTGCTTTTGAGTTAAGACTATGTGAATTATGTAGAGCCAAATAAACTATGAATACTCTGAAAAGAATTGGCGTCGTTAGCTTATTGCTACGGAGATATTGTACTTGTATGGTATTTTTTAAATAAATGCTGTAGTCCCCTCAGAAATATCCGAAAAACTGATCTTTGAATTTCGACATGAAACTTTTTATAGAGACAGGTCTTGATGGGAGTAGTTTATTGTAAAAGTTTCAGGTCTTTTGATTTTACTTCTATCTTGAACTAAGAACATTAAATCTACTGGTTTATATGTATGATGTGCAAGACATACTATTACTATAGTTGTATCTTAGGATAAGAAGAGGGACAAAATCTGAATCATTCATGGAAGCTATTCTCGTTAAGATCTGTCTCTATACAAAGTTTCAAGGTGGAATTCGAAAAACAGTTTTCCTGACGTTTCTTAGAGGAGCCATAGCATTTATTTAAAAAAATATCGCAAAAGTGCAATATCACCGTAGCAATAAGCTAAGGGTACCAACTCTTTCTAAGGTATTCATAACTTACTTTGATGTGCATAATGCACCTAGTCTCGACTCAAAAACGATTGAACACTTGGAAGGCTTTCCATGTGAGACAAAACCTTGTTTTTGCTTTATAAATGCCAAATTGAATTTTAAATGCAAGTATTTATTGTTCAATCTCTTATATATTATAGCAACTATTTTAATATCATATGAAAGCCTTCATTGTAATGAACAGTCGTATATTTATGTTGCTGGAAAAACATCGAAAAGTCAATCATGAAAAAGTTCAAACAAATACATTTGAATAAAAATTTATCACCGAAGCAGCGGAAGACTTTTTCAATATCTTTTCTTCTAAAGTTTTTGTAGTCGTCAGAAAACATTTCCGTTCAAATTCTTTTACGCATATATATATTTGCAGTAAATATCTTACTCTTTCTAACAAATAAAAAGAATAAGGATAAAGCCTCTACAATATTGCATTGGAACGCTATAAAAACAAGTGAAAATGAGTGCAAAATTTTTGCTCCATCCGTTCCTGGTTCAACTTAATGGTTTAAAAAAAACCATTGAGTATTCTGTCAAGCTTTGTATACTGGATTACCCTTTTGCAACATATCATAAAGAACTATTGTATTGAATTTATTAATCTAAATATTTTTCACAGTTCCATTTATTATTGTAGTTGTTAGATATAACAATCTGTAGTTTTCTTTTAGCAAATAATTTGTAATGATGCTTATTCATTTCTGAATACTTATCAGCTGTTGCTTTAAACAGAAAGTAAGTCGGACGGTAAACTCTTCTATTCATCTAACTTTATTTTTGCGGGTGAAGAATTTCAAATAGTTCAAATATTCGCCTATTGTCTTTATATGAAATAATAAAGCGAATATTAATTTAAATGTTACCTGCTCTGACATTATGTATATCAGTTTCGATTCGTACACGTCTTGGTTCATGTAAATGCATTTGAAAATCCATTTCTTTATCTAATTCATCATGTTTTGAATACATAATTGCATTAGCTCGTCGTATTGTTTCTTCTTTCCATTGATCATAATAATCAAGAAAAGCTCGACATAAACTAATATACAAAAAGAAAAAGTCAAATAACTTTCAAAATAAATAAATAAATAAATGAAAATGAAACTTACTTAAACCTAAGAGAATTCACAAGATTCGATGGTATTTGAAATGCTTCATAAAATGGTATAGCCATTGTTTCATCTGTTGATGTTTTTGTATATAATGTTGGATTTTCAGTTAGAAATATTTGCATTTGTGGTTGATCTTGTTCATTTAATACATCTTCTGAACGTGTAACAGTATTTGAATTTCTTCTTTGTGTTGGTGATTTTGTTGATTGTTCGATTTCATTATTTGTACTAATTTGTTGTGTAGTATCTGATTCATTATTAATATAACCTTCAAGTTCATAAGTTATTCGTGTTAATGATGTTGTATAATATTGATGTACTGATGAAGGATGATCATCAATTTTATTTTCATCGATTTGTCGAGCATGAAAATAATTAAGCATTTCATTTTTATATCGATTAACTTCTTCAGCAATCATATCTGAATATTTATTTACAATTGAATGTTCTACATCATAAAATTGTGCATAACTAAATAACATATGACACGTTATGAATTAGTCTTGTAAATTAAATTTGTTTTTTTTTGTTCTTATTACCTTGCTTTGAGAGTTTCTAATTGATCATTAGAAGAATTCAAGAGACGTGCTAATGCTGTTTCATTTGATGCACTTCGCATTTCATCCAAAGTTGAATCAAGTTTTGTTAATTTTTTCTATGAAATAAAATAAAATTGTTTTATTTTATTTTATTTTTTTTGATTTCTTGAATACTAAAATTTTACTTCATTTTGAAGATCATGTGGTCGTCGATATTCTTGCATCATAGTAAGTAATTGTACAGTAACATGTTCAAGTCGATTTTGATGATCATCCCATTGTTCAGCTATAGATTTTATGAATATTAAGAGACGATCAAGTATTTCATGCATGACATTTGTTAATTGTTCATAGACCATCTATATAGTTAATCAATAAGCGATAGAAAGAAAATTTTCATAGAATAGTTAATTAAAAAGTGTGTGTAATCGACTCATACTTTCAAAGAAAGAATATAAATAAATGTGACACTATCTTTCATAGACATTGGATTATGAATATTGCATAAAAGATCGACACGCATTGGGAATGATACATTTTAGTTTTTATTTTCGAATGAATGTCGCTCATAGAATGTATGATATCATTCGAGGCTGTAAAAACTTCGACACTTTACAACAATTAGCTTTCTACGACTTAAATGTAGATACGGTTTCTACAACTTTCAATGGAATACCTGTTGCAACTGTACGAGGAGTTTTAAATGTGAGCAATTTGAACTAACCGATTTCATTTCTACATATAAGTGGGCATCTATAAAAACTGCGGACACCCATGTTTGCTTTGCTTTTTACTTATACGAGATGTTTTACACTTAAACATTAAGCTACGTATTGTTATCATCTTTTACAATTAAAACGAAGGTAACAGTAGATATCCATAGTTTTTACAAGTGCCTAAAATTTACTCATGGTTACTTTGATCTTTAATTGTAAAACATATTTTATTCGTAAAAATCAAAATAAACATGAGTGTCCGTGTCCACGAAAAATGATATTTTCCTGTTGAAAACAAAGACGTGTAGCCCACAACGGCTGTCCGTTTACTATTTGTTTTAAACTCTATATGATTCTGCCGCTTTTGCGGAGTTCCCGAGTGTCCGCAGTTTTTACAGATATCCTTTAGAAGTTGTTCCGAAAATTGAAATAAAAGTTGAACAGTAAGTCATACAAAATCGTTGATGTTTTATCCCATAGATAATTCATTTGTCTTCAATCTTTTTCCATACTTATGAAGGTTTTGAAAAGTGTCTTATTTCAAAACGTTCTTTTATCTTGACTTGAAACAGAGATAGTTGAATTTTTATTCCCAATGTAAGTCGGAAAGGTGTTTGCTTCGATCTCTATTTTATAACACATTAGAGCCGACATATCTGAAATTAATGCATTTCACCATATGAAAAACATTTGATTCTAGATCTTTTCTTTGTTAATTCACAGCCAGTTATATATACAAACATGTGATTCTTCGCCAAAAATCTCTCATACCTTAGTTCGATTGAGAATTGATTCTTGTAAAAACTGTTTTCGCTCTGTAAACAATGGTTCAATATCACGTTCAAATGCAGCTTGTAATTGTTCCTCATTATAAACGTGAGTATGAAGAACTTTTTCCTATTAAATTAAAATAAACAATAATATTTTATTCAATAGTTGTTATTAGGTTTTTTTTACTCGAATTGATTGTGATTCTTTTTCTAATAAATTTATTTCATTATTAATAATTTCATTTATTTGCTGAACGAGTGCTTGTCGTTTATTAACTATTTTATTAGCTATATCATAACCTTGATTATACCATTTTTGTGCATTTTCACGTGTTGATGTAGGTGGAACGAATGAACTATAAAGAAATTATCCATTATTTAATTCTAAAATAATTATTAAATTACTTTAATTTATGTATATGCTCTATAAACAAATTTGTTTGTGTAGTAATATCTGTACCAATTGATTCACATGTTGATAAAATTGTTGGTTCTAATTTTGCTCTACATTGTGATAATTTTGAACTGAAAAAAATAAATCAAAGAGTAAACTGTCCAGAAAAAAAAGAAATTATTATCTTACATCCATGTTTGTTTATGTATAATCCATGTTGCATCTCTCCATTTGTTTTGATAATTAACAAGTTCAGCTTGATATCGATGTATCCGAACAGTTTCACCTCCTAATAATTTTGCTTCAAGTTCAGCATATATTCGACGATTATCAAATATGTGTGTATTTAATTCCTATTTTCAATGGAGAAAATTCTTCTTTTTTTTTAAATCTTTTATATTCAGTTATTTTCAATACTAACATTCGCTTGTTTTTCTAATTCATACGCAGTATCTTTATCGGATAAATGATGTGTTCTATATAAACGATCAGAATAATATTTAAATAAATCACGAATCTAATTGTATTTTTAAACAAAAAAACAAAATGAGATTTTGTCTTTTAAACAATAGTAAACATACTTTATGAATTCGTTCTAATTCAAGATCTTCAATTGATTGACAATATTCTTGAATTTGTGAAAGACGTGGTGAAAGATATTGATCAAGTTCATTAAATGCATATTCAAATGACTTTATTGTTAATGATGTTATTTCTTTTCGATAAATTAGATTTTGTAAATGTTCATTAATTTCTATGAAATGATTAAACAATTCAAAATAGCAACAAAAGAAAATAAATTTCAATTAATTTTTACCATTATCACCTTGTTCATAATACGTATTACATTGTCGCGTGACTTTTTCAAGTTCAATTAATAAATTCTAAAAAAATTCGTTGGCTTTTTTTTTAATGAATTGTATTTCTTAAATAACTACTTGATTAGTTTCAGATATTTTCTCTAAAAGTTCCGCCCATAATTGATTATATTTTGTTTCTCGATTAGATGCTAATCGTTCAGTTATATTTCCTTTCTTAGTAGTATCATCAATAATATTTTCATTTTTTTCAGTTTCAACTATTTAAAAAAAATTATATTGCAAAATAATTTAATATAAAATACAAACTATATTCAATATTATCAGGTAAATTAAAAACTTCACGTTTTAATTCATCTAATTGTTGTTGTCGTTCATTTTGACGTCGTTTTCGTTCATCATGAAATCTGAATTATTCGATGCGAAATTCAATTTAGAATAGAAAAGATTTTTAAAATCATACGAAATTGTTATTGGATTAATACTAGAATCATTACTAAATGACATACTTGTCAACCATTTTTTTTTCTGTGTTTCTAAATGAGAAAATGTAATTACAAAATGACTAAGTTATATTTTTATTTTCAAGTTTTCAAATGACCAACAAAATACAAAATGAGTTTAGATTATGAAATCCATGTTTATCTCTTTGTCTTTTTCTAAAGTTCAAAATAGAGAGCCGAAACCAAATCAGGAATTTCGAGAAAGACAATTCGATCATCAAAGAAGCACTGTTCCTCACGCTAGATGAAATATTAATATGAAGAAATGTAATAAAGATACATGATATCTTCATTTTTGTCTTGTCTATCAACAACTGTTCGTTGTATAAATGAAATTTTGTTGAACTAGTAAACTATAGTTTATCCGAAAATAGACTATATAACCTACGAAATCATATGAAAATCTTTAGCTATCAATTTTGATAAAATTTATGAATATTTATCTCAAGAGTATGAAGGCTGCTCTAGTCGAAAATATGGTACTCTCTCAATCGTGTAAAACTTTCATTCTTTCTCCAACAAGCAAAATTTCTTTTTGTCTTCTGTTAAAAAGAAAACATATTGTCTTTCTCAAACTCCAGGTATCGTCCATAAAAAACACAGAAAAGAAAAAAGTCGAAAGAAAGAAAAACATCGAACGTAAAGAGTAGATAAGGAAAAAAGACGAGTAATAAGAGATTACTCAAATAGAATGATGCAAGCATTTTTCTTTTGATGGTTTCATTCTTTTACCTATGTTGTTCTTCGAGCATTGCATATGTATTTATACTAATATAATGGATGATTGTCAATCAGTGCTGATCTCTGAATGTGGGTAGAAGACTTGTCTACTCTCTCTTATATACACCTAAACTTTTTTTAGTCGACATTTTTCTTTATATTTTTACATCATGTCTCACTCATACACGAATATTGATTGCCTTCGGTCAGTAATATCGATAATATTTTTCAGAATAATATTGTTAAATTCAGTAGAATCATGCGAAACATTTCAATTACTTTTTAACTGACTTCTTCCTTTTTCTTTTGTACAAAAAATTCATTATCAAATCTGTACTATAGACTAAAATAGATACTAATAAAGTACAAAATTCTTATTCAAAATGTTTAAGTAATTTTTACTCATTGTTTATTATTTATTCCCCCTAGAATATGAACTTAATTTTACTCTAACTATCCTTGATATTTTTTATGAATTGTTAATTTGAATTTTTCTATATTGTAAATAAAGGTACCATGTGGTTTGAAATTTCGTATAAGTGGTACAGCATTTGGACGTGAAGTGATGTTAACAGATTGTGATAATTGGTTATTTCGTACTCGATTATAAGCATCACTTAATTGTACCTGATGGGAAAAAAAGGTGAAGAGAACAAATTTCAATTTTTTTCAAATTAAATTTTTAAATAAATTCATACTTGTGCTTCAAATAATTGTCTATATACTTTATTATTTGGTAAAATTCGAACAGGAGCTGTCGCAGATGGATTGATCATTTTATTTAATTTCTTTTCTTAAAATGATTTTTTTTCCCATTAAAGAAATTTTCAATTTTTTTGTTACCTAGCAACACTCCCTATTTCTCATAATAATCGATAGATTTTGCTTCATTAATACCCATGTCTACTTGTACGCTATTGGTTTGTCTAATATATTTTATAATGACATCAATAACCAGTCACATGTCATTATGAATATTCCACGTATTAAATGGCACTGTTTTCAATATCAATCTATCGTAACTGATTGATGTGAATATTACAATAAATGCCATTCAATGTTATTATGAACATGTACTGTTGCTGGAAGATCTGGACTGCATATCAACTCTTATCGGTATTGCACTAAATGTCATTATTGCAAATCAGAAGTTGAAGTCGAAATTCGAGAGAAAAAACAAATGAAACAAATTATCATTCAAAGAGAATTTCAAAAAATGAATTCTGGCGAGTATTATTTATCTGCCTAACTTTCAAATATAGCATCTTTTTTATTACATGATATAACAAAAATATACTATAGTAGGTTTCGATTATATTTCATTATTTGTATGTTGTAGAGCAATGTCCATCATCAGAATGGAGCCGTAATAATGAATCTTGTAAACAGCATACAGGGTTTGATATTGAACAAGTAAAAAAGCTGTACACTATATGTGAACAACCATTGACAAATTATCGTGCATACAAAACAAAATAAATATATAACAGCATTAATTATATCATATATATCTTCCATAAATTTACTTGCAATAATATTGTACTATTTCAAACACTATCATTCTCAACGTTATATTGCAACAGAGTTACATTTAAGTCGATCTTCAGTAAATTATTATTTATCCGAAATTATTAATATCCTATACTTTTATGTATGTCTAGAATTGATTTCAAATCCTGTCAGTATAGCTAACAAGACAACGCCACATGGACCACAATCATATCATATTATTAGTCGATTCGACTTGTATTGTTGTACACGAACTTCGTGATTTAGAACACTGCAAAGCATTTTACCATGCAAAAAGTTCCGCAAATTATGCATTTAAAGTACAAATAGCTTGTAATTTTCATTATCAAATAGTACATGTATCAAAATGTTATTCGGGTAATGTTCATGATACAATAAATAATGCGAGGCTTAGGATTATTAGAATATACAAATGAAAATGTCTAAATTATCGCCGATAAAGGTTGTGCGCGTGAACAGTTCATAATCACTCCAAAAAAAAACAAATCTCATGGAGGTGATCTAAGAGCTAAAGATAAAGATTTTAATCGTATGATATGGAGTGCAAGAGCTGTTATTGAAAATATAAATCGGCGTGTTAAAGACTATACTAGTTTAGAAGGAATTTATAGGGAACATGTTGATATTCATATAAGACTAGTAAAATTGTGCATGTTATTTACGCTTTGAGTAATCTTAATTTGACTAAATATCCTATTCGTAAATAGATCATATGATTTATTATCTGTAATTTTCCAACGAATTGTTCTTAATAAAACTTTTATATTATCATCAAACATTGATTCAAATAATTCAAAGCAAGTTTCAGTGTGTGTTTATGTCTGATATGAAAAATTTTTCGTTGAATGATTGTAAAAAGGCCTTGATAATCATGATTATCCTGGGCAGGTAGAGCTCAAACAAAAATAGATCATCAGCATTGTGCATATATTATCAGTGGTAAACAAAAAATGATGCTTTTCCGAAAAATGCTTGAAGCTGCATGAAAAAAAGTAACTGGGGTAACATACCTAATTGGGCACTCCCATATGTATATAGGGGTACACCAAATCCAAATCCAGTCAAACCCAAATTCTTGGTTTGACAGAGTTTGACTAGATTTGGATTTGGGTTTGATTGGATTTGGATTTGGTGCATGCCTACGTATATATAATAATTAATAAATAATAAAATTTCCATCAAAACAAAATTTTTATAATAAAATTCAAAGCTGCTGTTATTCTCTATGAAAGAAATTTAGTTTTCATCTGTATTGAGTCAGTAGTACAAGAGAAACTTTTTGCCTCTACGGTCCGAATCGAAACATCCAGAAGGTGGCCCGATTTCGAAGCCTGGTGTCTGAATTCAACTTCCAGACAGTTATCTATCGTTTGATACTGTTCTCAAACTTTCCTTGCTTTCTTTTGAGACTGTAAACTACGTCCTATAAGTGCTTGGTTGATATCTTAAAAAGTAATTATTCGTCGTTGAATTATTCTGGAAATCCATTTTCTTATAGTCCTTTACCACGTTGACAAATGAAGTGGCCATGGGTAGCAATGCTGAGAAATATCAAAAAACATGAAATTTTAATACTTTTATCGGCATTATTTGTACCACATATTGTAGTCCGAACAAGGACCATGTTGCAAGTTCATTTGCCAATAATATTGACATGTTAGAACGACTTATATTATGTTTGCTTTAGTTGTTTTACCAATATATTCTGGAATCACTCCAGGAGGTAAAGAGATAGTCTAAGATCATTACAACGTTGAAGAGGGTGTTCAATTATCAATAACTATTTTTCAAAATACACTATTGACGGAAAAATAAATGTCATATATGAGCCTACTAGATATGTTATCATAACAAGAATAACGTAAAAAAACGAATCAACCTATAAAAAATTCAATCATTGAACTAGCGGCTGGATTTATACACGTAAACGAAAAGTTCAGTGAACATTTTTGAAACGCCATCATCCGATAAAAAATGCGCTTTTTAGCTGACCACTTGAGGAATAATCGAGTTTTGATGTTCAAATAACGCCCTCAGTCTTAGCTTAACAATAACAAAGAGTGCAACTTACCGAGTCCTACTGTTCTGAAAATAGAAGTTCTAACATTTTGAGCATTTTCTTTTGAAGTAAACAATAATTTAAATCATCCTAAAATTACAGCAAATCCTGGATGATTTTTTTCCTGTAAATAACATAAATTTTGCATTTCAAATAAAGGCTCTTTTTCTGATAGAAAATTTCTTTTAAGTCTAACAGTTTGTTCTATACGATACAGCAGCTTCCAGGACTTGTTTTTATGGGATTTTTTGGGATTTTATAATAAGTCCCTCTGCCTTTTGGGATAAATCTCATATCATTTCATCCACCATACATACATCCTTACAGTATGGCTGCATTGACGTATTGATCTTATCTTGTTTCTCCTCTCATACATGCATACCTACAGTGTGGATGCAAGGAAATATTAACACAGTTAATAAATCCTAATATGTCCTGTAGAGAAATAATCCCCGATAGCGTCTCATATCATGTGCTCAGAGAGAAGATACATGGAAATCTGACCTTTGACTATAAAGAAAGGACTTTAAAATGAATAAAAACTGATCATAAGATTTCTGAATGGCTCTGTACCAAATTTATTCGAAATGAATTGAAAAATTATTAATACTCTGACGGGAAAGGTATTTTCAAATATGGATACAGCGCTCTTTCAAAAATAAATACCTTCATAATTTGATCGACCATAAAATATTACTGTGAACTATACCATTTTATTAATATAACCTTTTCCACTCGTATTCATTATTCAAATTGGCAACTCGTCATCTTATCCTGGCGAAAGTCCTGAATGTTTCAGTTTCAGATCCTTAACGGATCCAATAAGAATCCTTTAAGGACCTATTCTTTTTTCTTGAGAAAACGACTAAGTCCTGACGAAAGCGCGTAGTCATAGAATTTCAAGATCCTGGCAAGATTTAAAACAGGATTCTATCAAGAGTCTGAGCAGATTAACACTAGATTTAAAACTAGAAATTGGCCCAGGAAACCCTAAATTCTGAAAAAAACGTATAGCCAAGAGATCTTAGAAAATTCACTACGTTTTAGGAAGGTGTAGATGTGTGGGTATGGGTATGAATGGAGATTGGTGCAAGTGTGTGTTGGTTCATCTTATCTAGATCCACATCTACACCGTTCTGTTGTATTCTTGTTAAGATCCTCCTCTTGTTTAGCTATTATTGTTGATCGGATCCTCGTATCTGGATCCAGAATAGTACCTGAGTAAAGATTTCATCAACCTTTACAGTATCCTATCTGCTATTCCTGTGAGGACGCTAGGTAGGATGGAGAGAGAAATCTGGTAAGATCCTGAATGATTGATTTCGAAAAAAATCTTGGCAGAAACTTGAACGAATGCTGAAAAGAATCCTGTTGACTCATGAAAAATACTGCAAACAGGAATCACTAGGATTCGAGATAGAATCCTGAACAAAACTTGGCAAGATCCTTGAGATCTACGTTTCTAGAAGATTTTTTCAGAACTTATCAAGGGATGGACAGGGTTTAGACTAGGATATTTACCTCTATTCAGAAAAGGCTCTTATGATAACCGTTAAATCATTAGGAAAGATAAATGGAGCTACCAACAGGGTTACTTATAGGTGTAGTATTCTAGTTGAACAACTTTAATGAATAGTATTCAGTAAAAAATTGCTTTTCTTTTTTATCGAGTTTTCCATCGATTAATTAGTATTCAAATGAATAATTAGCTTTCTAAAGAAAAGCAAAGTTTGATTATGACTAATTGAATGATTTTTCAATGATTAATAAAAATTGTTTTCTTTTGTCTAATATAAAACAAATAAATCAATGCAATAAAATATATACTTATATATAAGAGTTGAATCCTCAGAAGAAGAAAGAAAAAGAATTCTATATTGTAGATCTTTTTAAAACTAAACGTGAAAAATGATCTACGCTTTCTTTGTGGAATATTTCTATATTGTTAAATATATAATTTATTAACTCAAGAAAATAACCTTTTGGTGTTCCAGTGTTTCCACTAATATTCATGATAATCACAATGTCTTTTTTGTCAGATCGTTTTTTCTAAATTTTTTCATCCAAATAAAATTTTAAAAAATCATAGCAATACAAAAAATGTAAATATCCGTATTTGTAAGGTAGCGGAAATTCAAAAGGACAAGTATCAATAAGGAGATTTTTTTGTCAAATGTATTTTTTAAA